ATTGCTGTTATTATGTTTTGTTTTAGAAACCATTCAAAATTCATTCAAGCGGTGATTGAGGTCTTTATTTTGATCTATCGTAGAAATTGAGCACCACTACAGTTATTAGCAAATTACAGTAATAGTAATACTTGAGCATGTCTGTTATTCGTATTATTGACTTTTATCTAAAATTTTATGAAAATAGCTAAAATTACGTCATAATGCTTGTGCACTATATCACTATGAAATCGCATCTAGGTGGATGGATGCTTGAGAACACAGGCGAAAACATTTCCAGTGCCTAGGTCATAATTCCACGTGGTCTAAACAAAGTCCGTGAGATTCTCTTGAGTAGTGAATATTAACGTTCGTTTCAAGCTGGAAATAGCTTTTGTGGCGATTTTTTATTAGTGAAATGTTCGGTTCAAAAAAAGTATTATACTTTAAAACATATAAATAAATTACCCGGCCGATTGATTTGCACCAGCCTATGCCCAAAATGATGTAAAAAAAAAATGTGAGATTTTTTCGAGCCAAAATGAAATGGTTGCTTATATTCGAGTCCAACTTTATTATTAGAAAAAAACAATCTTAGTCGAGGTTGCTTTTTGATCATTGTTCTATAAACTTTCATGTTTATGATTAGCAAACAATACGCTTTCTTAAACATTTACAGGATTACGAAAATTTATTCAATTAAAATAAATTAGTAGCATTCAATTTGTTTTTGAAATAAAGTAATCCTTTTTTAATAATCATTCGACACATTAAGCAATATAATAGTTAGTAAAAATGGTCAATAAATTAGCAAACCCAAACCTTGGGTTAAAGTTGCCAAGAGTACTGTAATTAGATTTAAGTCTGTTCTTATGATAATTTCAAAATAATATTGCATTGTAAGCAATTACTATATAAAAATGAAAATATGAATGAAAAATGAACATTTAATTATTCCATTGAATTTTGTATTTTATGCATTAAATTCTTTTTTTAATCAAGTTTATAAAAATGAAAATTTATTCTCCGTAGTAAAATAAAACTATTGAAGTTAATGGAGAACTATAGACATAGTCGACCTGGTATCTCGTACCGCCTAACAAAAATGAAACAGTCATAAATAAAACGAAATAATATAATTTTCAATCAAAATATTTATTGTAACTCACATAAATAATTCGCTGGAGGAGCTCCACCATTATTTGCGGCACGAATGATATAAGTAATATCGCTAAATGCACCTCTCCCATCGGTATACTGTTCGTCAAAAATGTTAATCTTTATGAATTATAGAATTATTCATAGATTTCAATACTTGCATTAACAAAAGAAAGTTGCAGAGGTGCATTTCTTGTCGGATTATGGGATGGAACGACGGCAATGAGTGAAAATTCTAAAGATGAGGTATCTTGTGGAATAATAGATCTAAAGCCGATAGGACCATCTAAATTTTATCAAGATTTATTTAATATATTCATATGATTTAAGTATTAATTTGATCATATCTTACATACCTTGTACTTCATAAGTTGATGCCACACCTGAAAAGGGATAACGGAGGACATCTCTTCTATGGTTAAAGAATATTACTCGAACATCATCTAATAATGAGAATAATAGTATATGATGAAAAAATTTCCATAACGATAACGGTAATGAATGTTAAGTATGGTAGTGTTATCGTTATAAGCTGATCGGGGTACTTAGTCGACTTTTCTTGATAGAATTGATCACGTGCAAATTATGTTGTCTAATTTAGAATCTATTTTGGATCTTAAACCAATTTAGGTGTAAGTAAAAATTTACTTTCATGGTTTGAAGTAGAGTTAAAATCCGGATTTATATCCGGATATAATTTTGTTTAAAACATATATTCCGGATTACAGCTGTTCTCATAAATCCTGGGACACTGATAAAAATTTGATCGGCCAAAAACTTATCGGTCGGTTATCCCAGAATTTATGAGAACAGCTATAATCCGGATATAATTATATATCCGGATTTAATTATATATTCAGATTTACAACTGCTCTCATTAACGTTAAATTTTGGAACAGCTGATAAAAATTATTTCGGTCGAATTTGATTAGTTTTTGAATTCGGTATTATCGGTATTTAAATTCGGATTAATCCGATTGAGGTGCTAACTTTAATTTGAAGTAATCGACTAAGTTGACTACCGTATTTGCGCGTAATAACGCACATGGGCGTTATTTCGAATAATGACCCGAATTAAGCTTAATTAGGCCGAAATTCAAAATTACACCCTTGCACGTTATTACGCGCAAATACGGGTAAGCAGATTTTTTATAATATCGACTTAGTTTGTCGATAGTTGAGGACTAAAATATGGCATATATTTACCAAGTTTCCATCTACGACGTTCAGTACATCTATAACATAAATATCCGCTAGCGAATAAATGAAATTTGAAAAAATTGCCTCTTGGGACTCTGAGTCGTCTCGGAATTTCAACATCTGGAAGCTCTGTTTAATGATATCATCAAGTTAATATGTGATTACATTCGGTCAACATTTTTTTTAAATATAGAGATTACCCTGATTTCCAATAAATCTTGGAATTTGGCGTGGATAAACGGCTGCAAATGAACCGATTACGTAGAGAAAGAAAATAATCAAGACAGAGAGAAATCCTAATTTAGCCATCTTGATAAGCATCTTGATTGAAGTAAACCTACATGAAATGTTAACATTCATGTTAAAAAGAATAGTTATAATGATAAATAATTCATATAGTACATATAATGATTGAAGAATTTTGACATACAAAAAATTAAAGCTTTAAACTATAAAATTCATCGAAGAAAAAAGTTCAAGCTTTATATTTTCAATTGATTCGAGCATCGCTCAAATAAGGTTTATCCGATTCAAATTACGCCATATGCAGATAAATGAAAAGATTTTGAATAAAAATTAAAGTTTAATGCACAACAAATAACAGTAAAGGTCAAGGGATATGTTAAATTAAGGACGGGGATGTTAGTTGTTAAAATGGTTAGTAGATCTTGAAAATTTTATTAAAATCATTTAGATTCTATATTTTACATTACTCCCCTTTCTTCTGGTAGGGGGTGGAGAATTAAAATTAAAATTAGGTTGCCGGTTCTCCAGACCTAAGTCAATCTTATTAGAAACAATAAACTTTGTATTGCCTGAGAGAGAAGGGAGGTTGAGGAGTAACGTAAAATACGAATTAAGTTGATCTTCCCTTAATTGTTAATCATTTTAAGAACAAAAACATATTTGTGTGTCGGAAATTAAATTTTAATTAGCAGAAAGAATTTTTAACTGTTTGTCATTAAGATGAATAAGGTAAAGACACGTGATATATTTAAACAAAGAGAAATTTAAAGTGAAAAATGATCAGTGAGTTTATCATTTTAGTTAAAAAAATTTTGCCCCAAATTACCTTTTTTTTGCACTGGTTTATTAAAACTTTATAACTATTAAAGTAAGGTCATGCAAAATTAATTAATTGGTTTTCATAACCCGGCCGGGCCTGTTTAAAGTCTCAATGTTAAGAAACCAAGATATTAAATTTGTGTGGCCTAAATAGAATCATTGCTCAAGCGTTTTCATACCTGTTTTTATGATCTTCGCTATCGACACACTAACGTATTGATGTTATATGTTTTGTTAGGCGGTACGTGATACCAGGTCGACTATGTCTATAGTTCTCCATTAACTTCAATAGTTTTATTTTACTACGGAGAA